GGAGGTCTTCCAATTCTGTTTTACTTTTAAATTTGATTTTATATTGGAGCATAGTTGTCTAACATTGTGTCAGTTTCAGTTGTACAGCAGAGTGATTCAGCAATACATATACATTTCAAATTCTTTTCCCATTTAGGTTATTGCAGAGTATTGAGCAGTGTTCCCTGTGCTTTACAGTAGCTCCTTGTTGGTTATCAATTCCCAGGTTTTTGATTGCTTAGGATTTTTGTTTGTTTGAGCAACTAGTGATGCTGTTTACTTAAAGGGAACGATTTGTCAAGGGTCAAGAGAAGCAGCTTGGCAGTAAAAATCAAAAAGTCTGCTTTTGCATATCATGTCTAACATGCTGGATCAGACAGATCCCCACAGAAAACAGATGAAACACGGAGTGTACTCCAGTCAAGTGTTTACAGAAATGGGAACAAGGTTAAGGGGCCAAGCATAGCACCCAAGGCTAGCAACAGCAGAGAGCCATTACTACCCCTACAACTGAAGGGGCCAGGGAAGGAGAGCGTTACTGGGCACAGTGTGAGTTGTCGCCATTATAGACAAGCTGCACCACACAAGCAGTGGAATTAGGCAGAGGTCAGAGCCAGTAAGAAAGTCACAGCCGAACAGGAAGGGAGCTGAAGTGGTCGTTTATCCATCTTCCATACTGTCCGGCTCTTCTGTATCCTGCTGGCACTGTCCTCTGGCTCACTCTGAACAGAGGATGGAGGACCTGAAAGCCCGTGATGCTGTAGTTAGTAGAGATCAGGGCACACAGTGCAGGGCAGTGCCACGTGGGGAATGCATCTGAGAGATAAATGGAAAAAATCAGCACTGATGCTGATAAGGCTCCTTCCGAGGGTCTTTAAGGAGACAGATAGCTAAGGGCAGAGGTATTGAACATCATCAGTATTTCAATGGCCTATGTCAGATGTACTACGAACTAATATTTGTGCTCTTTCTTTGAGCTGTAGGCACTGTACCAACATTTGCACATGCATTATCTCATTTACTTCTTAAAACAGACCTCACGTTTTTTATCATCTCATTAGACATCGGTAATGGCATTTAATCTATAGATTTGTTTTGAGAATTGCATGAAGCAACTAAAGCACAGTGAAGTGAAGCAACCTATTTAATGTCACATCGCTGTGTGGTCGCACAGCAGAGCCAAGAATTAAGTCGGAGATGTTTCTGTCCCCAGGGCAAGTCAGAGAAACCATTATTGCACACAGCTTCTCTGAGAGAATCAAATGCTGGAGCAATGGCATGTTAGGTCATGTGGCTGGTTTTTTTTTTTTTGTAAAACACTGCCCTCTTTTTCATTTTTTTCACTTCTTTGGGAAAAAAAAAAACAACAATTCTGACAAGAATTCATCAAAGAAGATATTCCAAATTTTAATGTCCCGATTTGGGTATTGCTTTTGATTAAGGCTGTTTGCAGACCAGAATATTAGTAACCCTCATATTCCCTATACCCCAAAGAAAAAAGAGGAGATTCACTTTTATCTTGGGAACAAAGCTGGATAGAAAAGCTTTTTTAACTTTTCTTAATTCATGAAACATTTATCTTCGAGTCAGGTTTTGTTATAGCAGCACAAATGTGGTCCATCAGCATTTCCATTATAACCCCATATTTCCAGGGCTTTTCAAGAGTGCCTTGGAGATTTTACTTTGAATTAAACCTTGGCATTCAGGATTTGAATCAGGAAACTCCATTTTCCCTGCCAATTAATCAAATAGTTTAGAGGTTCTCAATTTAGAAGAGGACCAAATATAAAATTTTTATTAACACAGAAATTATTTTAAGACAAATTTGCTAACAAATACTTAGACCATATTAGCACTCATTATATAGTTATAGTGCTATTTAACTATATATGGTGTTGTTACTCAGTTGATCAGTTGTGTATGATTCTTTGCTACCCCATGGACTGTAGACCACCAGACTCCCCTGTTCAGGGTATTTCCCAGGCAAGAATACTAAAGTGGGTTATTTCCTACTGAGTCCTCAAAAAAATTAACCATAAGCGCTCCTAAGAAAATATATAAAGGCTAACTATAACATCTTATATTTGCCTTTTTGACTTTGTAAGTAATTTATTTCTACTTTGGGAATTTGGATGATTTGAAGTCCTCAGCATAATTGGTTTAATGTTATTAACAGTATCAAGATAGTAAACCAGAAGAGCCTGGGTAGGGGGAATCCTGAGAGGATGCCAAAGTATTTCAATACATTTTTATGAATTTTAAATTCATGAAATCTTGCATTCTATAAAAAGGGATTAATAGCATGCATTAGTTCTATAAATAGATACTTGAAATTTAATGTGTTGAATTCAGTGACAATAATGAGGATTAAATAAGTTTAATTACAAAGCCTTTCCTCTTAGTTCCAAACTAGTCTGTGAATGTTCTGTGGTAGTGAGAAGGCATAATGATGACCCTGTATCTTTTAATGTATCCTTCTATAGTCGCTTCTGAAATCTCTCCTCCAGCCTTAAATAGTTTAGGATTAAGCCAACAAAATGTAGTGAATGAAAAATAGATGAAGCCTTTCCAGTACACCTACTCTCCTTCTGACTGACTTCTGTCCAGCCACAATGGCCTCTTTGCTGTTTCAGAAACATACTAAGCAGACTCCCACATTGAGACATTTGTTCTAACTTTTTCTTCTTGGAATGCACTTCCTCCAGGTGTCTTCTTGGCCAACTCCCCTTACTGCCTCAGTCTTTGCTCAAACCCTGCTTTCTGAATGTGGTGAAACTCTATCACTCTACTTGATAATTGGATTTGCCCTTAGATCTTCAATCCCAGAATTCATGACACCCATTACCCTACCTAACTTTTCTTCTTTCTACAATATTTATTCTCTTCTAACACACTTAGCTTCCCTGGTGGCTAAGATGGTAAAGAATCAACCTGCACTGCTGATTGCAGGGAGACCTGGGTTCAATCCCTGGGTTGGGAAGATCCCCTGGAAGAGGGAATGGGAACCCACTCCAGTGTTCTCGGCTGGAGAATCCCGATAGACAGAGGAGCTTGACAGTCTACAGTCCATGGGGTCACAAGGAGGCAGACGTGACTGAGTGACTAAGCAACACACTCATACCTTTGTAAAATGTCTGTTCCTTCACTCTTCCCCTGGATTGTGAGGTCAATGAAGACAAGTTTCTTTGTTTTATTCATTGACATATTCTAAGAACTGTGCTGAGGATATATTAATTGTTCAAAGATATTTATTAAATGAAAGATACATTATAAAATGATATCTGAATTTCATCCCATAACAACAATCTGCAAACAGCATTTCAGATATAACTTTCTCTGTTCTCTGGCTCTTCTATAAGATTTGAAGTATTTCCCTAAGATAGGTAAGAATGCACTTTGAACATAGATGACACAATGAAAGGTCCTACATTTAAATCTTTTTATAATGTGCTGTTGTCCAGTTGCTAAGTCCTGTCTGACTCTTTGTGAACCCATGAACTGCAGCATGCCAGGGTTCCTTGTCCTTCATTATCTCCCAGGGTTTGTTCAAACTCAGGTTCATTGAGTCAGTGATGTTATCCAACCATTTCTTCCTCTGCCACCCTCTTCTCCTTTTGCCTTCCGTCTTTCCCAGAATCAGAGTCTTTTCCAATGAGTTGTTTCTTCATAACAAAGTATTGGAGCATCAGCATTAGTCCTACCAATGAATATTCAGGACTGATTTCCTTTAGGATTGACTGGTTTGATCTCCTTGCCATCCAAGGGACTATCAAGAGTCTTCTCTAGCACCACAATTAGAAAGCATAAATTCTTTGGCACTCACCCTTCTTTACAGTCCAACTCTCACATCCATATGTGACTACTGGAAAAATGGTAGCTTTTACTATATGGACCTTTGCTGGCAAAGTGATGACTTTGCTTTTTTAATATGTCTAGATTTGTCCTAGCTTTCCTTCCAAAGAGCAAGCACCTTTTACTTTCATGGCTGCAGTCATCATCCATAGTGATTTTGGAGCCCAGGAAGATAAAATCTGTCACTTCTAATTTTTCCCTTTGTTTGCCATAAAGCAATAGGACTGGATGTCATAATCTTAAGTTTTTTGAATGCTGAATTTAAAGCCAGATTTTTTTTACTCTCTTCTTTCACCCTCATCAGGAGACTCTTTAGTTCCTCTTCACTTTCTGCCGTTAGGGTGTAGTGTGCTATGGGCTCATTTTTGGAAATTTTGTAGTTAATTTCAATTAGTTTTATCTATTGTTTGGAAAAGATAAATAAGTAGATGCAAAGCATGGTTTTCTCAAAATAAATGTTTATTTTGTGTTAAACATACTACTGGACATGTTTGTAACATTTTTTATAATTGTAATGATCTTAATACCAAGCTAAGAATTTATGAATTAAAACATAATCTTGTGATTGAAAAGGAAAAAGAACCCCATAACCTCAGCAGTGATGAAAACATCCTGAAAACAAGGGCTTTCTATAAGACTTCACTACTTGGCACCATGACTTGAAAGGTATGCTAATTACAAAGGGAGTCATTTAGTGAGAATTCACTACCAGTTCAATGGTATAAAAGTGAGAACACTGGAAGTTCACTGTAAAATACCAATGCTGGTGACACATTCACCAGTACAGTCATGTCTGATTCTGAACAGTAGCTGACAGCAAAATTTAGCATTTTCTACCGTATGTATGTATTGATTTTATTAATTGACTTAAACACTACTTTAAAACAAATAAGATCAGTTATCTTTCCATTTCTTTTCACATATATCAAAAGGAANACACTGGAAGTTCACTGTAAAATACCAATGCTGGTGACACATTCACCAGTACAGTCATGTCTGATTCTGAACAGTAGCTGACAGCAAAATTTAGCATTTTCTACCGTATGTATTGATTTTATTAATTGACTTAAACACTACTTTAAAACAAATAAGACCAGTTATCTTTCCATTTCTTTTCACATATATCAAAAGGAATTTATTTGACTTGTATTACCGCTTTGTCTCTTTAGGGAAAATGTGAGCAGTCACTCTATGGTCACATGCATTCCATCAATGATGCCACATTCACTCCTAGGGTAAGTTTAGTCCTTCCACTAAGTTATTTTACAGCTTTATTATTATGAGACAAGTGCTCGGGCCTGGTGCACTGGGAAGACCCAGAGGGATCAGGTAGAGAGGGACATGGGAGGGGGGATCGGGATGGGGAATACATGTAAATCCAGGGCTGATTCATGTCAATATGTGACAAAACCCACTACAATATTGTAAAGTAATTAGCCTCCAACTAATAAAAATAAATGAAAAAAAAGTAGAAATGAAAAGCAAAAAAAAAAAATAATAAAATTCATTTTAATGAAAAAAAGTACCAGAGAAAAATGGCAGGTTAACAGGGTGAGAGGAGAGAACAAATTTGTAAATTAATTACAGCAATGAAAACAATGTATACATGATATAGAATTAAAGAAGTTTAAAACAAACTTTACAGTGATAAGTAGAGGGGAACTTCCTATTGTACTTAATTCCGCTTAAACACATGGTTTAAGGCTTTCTGTCTAGCGGCCTTCAAGAAAGTAAGTGGAATATAAGCTTGTAAATTTTAGTGTAAGATCATAAAATGAAGTGATTGAAAGGATAGTCAAGAACAGAAAATGTTAAAGAAATGGGGCCTTTCTTTAAGGTAGAATAAAGCAACCTTGATTTTACAGTTTTTCAGTTTCCCATGGAAAGATTTCAAATATGTCTTTCTTTATATAAACTGATTACATAGCAAAAATATTTACCTACAGTTTGAGTTATGTAGAGATCGGGATGATTTTACCAGTGATGAAGATTGTTAAACATGGCTTTGAGTTTCTGTGCTAACTGGGATTGTCTCTAAAAGGGCTTCCCTGGTGCCTCAGTACAGAATCCACCTGCAATACAGGACACCCAGTTTCAATCCCTGAGTCAGGAAGATTCCTTGGAGAAGGGAATGGCTATGCACTCTAGTATTCTTGCCTGGAGAACTCCATGGACAAGAGGAGCCTGGCAGGCTACAGTCCATGGGGTCACAAAGAGTCAAACACAAACACAACTGAACTACTAACACTTTCACTTTCACTAAAAGAGTTCAGATGGTAATCATGTAAGTGGCTTAGAGCTTCACATACCCTAGGAAAATTAAATGGAAGCTAAAATGCAGTAAAGTAATATTTTGTAAGTCAAGCATTTATTTTGGTAAGCAGTCACTTAGCTGGAAAGGACACACCATTTAACATCCTAAATAGTACAATTAATAAATATGGAAATACCTAAATTAGATTTATTCAGTCAGCAATCAAGGGACCCATACGTCAATTATGTGTATTTCAAAAGCAAGATAATGGACATGAGGTCCAGGTGTGTCCAATATCAAAGTGACTGACCAAAGTGACTGTCAAATATCAAAGTGTTACTGTTTACACACTTTGTTCATACCAAAGGGACTATTACAACACTGCTCCAAATTAACATTCCCAAAGTCTCATTGAATTTTTCCATTAATTTATCTCTTCTTTGCTATAAATATTTAATTACTGTTAAGGAAATGCTGTTTTATTTTTATGAATGGCACTCTTAAGTGAAATTTTCAGTCACTTATGGACATGACTGAGTGACTGAACTGAACTGAACTGAATTAATGTCAACTGTTTTGAAAGCAGTCATATTTCACATACCTGTTAGGGAGTGTCAGGAAGATGAAGGCAGCAGTAACAGAAAGAGCACAAAGACTTTCAGGATTTCTAAAGGAAATGGCATTGTGGCACAGTTCACATTCAAACTCTCAAAGTTGTGATCATAAATGCATTATATGGTACATATATAGCAGGCAGAGAATTGTTTAATATCAGGTCTGTCTGCTAATTGTTTGATGCCTTAGGGATATGCATTCAAGTTACATTACTAGTTAAAATGCACTTAGCTATTTACATAAACACAATCTTTGGAAAATTCTTTAATTTTAGATTTCTAAACAGAAGTCAAAAATGTAAAACTCAGTGAGATCCAGGTGCTGCTGCTGCTGCTAAGTCGCTTCAGTCGTGTCCGACTCTGTGCAACCCCACAGACAGCAGCCCTACAGGCTCCCCCGTCCCTGGCATTCTCCAGGCAAGAACCCTGGAGTGGGTTGCCACTTCCTTCTCCAATGCAGGGAAGTGAAAAGTGAAGTGAAGTTGCTCAGTCGTGTCCGACTCTTAGTGACCCCATGAACTGCAGCCCACCAGGCTCCTCCGTCCATGGGATTTTCCAGGCAAGAGTACTGGAGTGGGGTGCCATTGTCTTCTCTGGAGATCCAACTAGCCACCAAGAATCACAGAAACAAATATACAATATCAGTATATATGCATGGTTCTATATAAAAGTATATAAATTAAGATTTATTTCTCTGTTATAGTATTAGGGCTCCAGCGTCTTCATTTCTGACTGATTTTTCTATTGGAGATAGATTTTTATCTAAAACCTCTGTTTAAAGTAATCTGCTAATGAAACATTTTAAGGACCTATGAAAGCTTTTTACTAAGTCAGTTTTGTAAAGCAAAAGCTATATTTTTTAAGTTGACTGTAATTACCATTAATATTAATTACATTAATATAAATTACTTTAATATTAATAGACACAGATAACTCAATGTAAGTAATTTTTTTAATTATAGAAATATATAGCAAGAAAATGAATAGGGGATCCCTATCAGAGTGTCCCCTGCCTTTAATTTTTTTAGGAAATTGACTAGGCTAGGGTGGAGTTGTCTAGCTAGGGTGGAGTTTCCATCAGGCCTTCCAGGGAACTCTCTTGATCCTCTTCTAGAGTGAGGTTATGGTCACTTACTCACTAGAGTAAGGTTATGGGTGTCCTTAAATCTCTGTGGATATTCCCCACTGTTCCAAGAAATACATAGCCAGGATTTCTGTGCTATGCCTGCCTGGAAAAGCCAGATGAACACTGTAAATCACCTCTATTAGAATTCCAGTACATCCTTCCATGGGACTATTTACCTCAGTCTTGCACATTCAAGCTAGGAATTTAGTCTCAACACATTGGTTGTTGGAACAAAGCTGAAAGGCCCTGTAGAATCAAAGGTGATTCTAGTAGTTCTAGAATTCTAATCAGCTCATAAAAGAAGAGGTTTCACACAGCTTCAAGTTCCATTCTCACTTATTCTAATTAATCTGTTGTTTTATTCAAATATTGTTATATTGATTATTTTAATATAGAAATATATACTTTATATAACCTATGGATATTTTGATTTTGAAATGAATGACATATAGCCTTAATAGAGGGCTATTCAAGTTCTAACTTGTTTTTCATCTACACTTCCATGGAAACTACCTGCTGTGAATAAGGGTGATGGAAGGTGAAGTCTGTCAATTTTACTTTGCAGCAGTTTGGAATTTTAAGTAAGTATGACAGAAAGGGATTTAATAGGACTTTGCAGCAATGTAGATTCTTACCCCTTCTGTTGGCCTTGAGTCATGTAGAGGACAAGAGAAATAATTGCTTGCTTTAGAGAACTTGAAGAAGAGTGGTAATTGTGAGTAATGATTCAGGTCCCAGTTTAAGCCAAGAAGGTGAAGGAAGTATTTAAAACAGAAAGTGGCATTACAGAGGAATTGGTTGATCATATATATGATCATTAGAGGATGAGTGTAGAAGGGTATGTGAGAGCTAGGAGAGGTAATAGAATCAAATTAAGGGACAAACACAGATCTTTGAAGATAAGAGTCTAAGTAAGTAATAAGGGAAAATGTGCTAGTGTGGCCATCTATCAATAACAGTCACTTACATTTTGTATGTCAAAATGACCATAGAATCAAAATGACTATATCAGAAGGAAAATATCAAAAAGCCAGTAGTCATAAAATACGGTAGTACTGAGAAAAGATGAAGTCCTCTCTGCATTCTGTGCCTCGGTATCTCACCCTGTACAACTTTCCATAGGTGTCAGAGGCTGTGGACTCAGGTTGGATGGTTAGGAGTTGCTCCAGAAAATGTGCGCTGTCAGCTTTAACTGAAAGCTCATTGAGGAACAATTGGACGTTCAGAATTAAGTCATGAATCACATTAGATATTTTAAAATCAAAATATGCTGTAATCCCACTGAAATCCTAAGGCAGATCCATTGTTGTGATTCACTGCCGAGAATCACAGTCATCTTCCTTCTTTGAAGACTATAATTCCTGAGTTATTGTTTCTCTTTACATATATGGCTCATGAAGTACTTTGACACTTCCTTGACCAGTTTTCCTCAAACACCTTTTTCCTCCTCAGCTACATACTCTTGAAGTCAAACTCAGAACACTTTGTCCTTACCTGTAATTGCATCATTTTCAAATCCTCAGTTCCAAGCATTGCTTTTCTAAAGATACCTGTCTGACTTCCAGCTCTTAAGTAAAGCCAGTGTGGTGCTTCCACTTCATTGAGAGGTTTTATTACCTAAAATATTGCTCACCATCTTATCACCTTTCTGCCTTCACTTACTGTACCCCAGCTTGGGTACCTCAGTTGTCATTCTAGCCATTCCACTACAAAGAACTTCATTCAGTTCAGTTTGCCCTCCTTCCAGTTATGGTTCACAATGTCTTGGGGCTTTTCTCTGTTCACTTAAAAAAAAAATTCTGTACACTGGAAAGCATTAAAAAGAAATGTGAAAGAGGACATTTTAAATTTTGTTTGGCTCACTATCTCCAGTATCTGGTATAGCCTATTTTGCATACATAATATTAAAAAATGTGATGAATAAATGCAGAGTTTTAGACAAATGAAAGCACAAGGATTTCATTATAGTGTGTATCACTGCATCTTGTTTTTTCAACTATGTTGGCTTTCAAAGTTCTGTGGATATTGAACTGCAAGGCAAACTCATTTAATTCTCATAATAGATTAGCTGTTCCTTAGAAAACTTCTATAGTATCATAGTGTTCCATAACTTTGGAACACTGGAAAATTACCCAATTTCAGTTATACTTGTCCCCTAGTACATTTTGGATCCTGGCTTTTCCACTCACAAGATGTATAATCTTGATAAATCATTTAGTTCATTGTAAAATGAATGATAAA